GTACCTGATCCTCCGCAGCTTCAATTATCTCTGATTCTGCACAAATGACCGCAGTCTGTGTGTTGGAACAGAAACAAGCGCACATTTCCACCTACTTTCCCTACAGGGCTCGAACAGCCTTTAAGGACTTTACGCTTGATCCCAGAGATTGGTATTGGGTAGATCCACGAAAGCCGGACAGCGCTATAACCCTGATACAACACTCTGCCAGACTCGCATACTTGATGCTTTTAGGAGAAGTGGATGTTTGACTGGGGTATTGTTCAAAAGTGGCGAGTACTTGGGGGGTATACTTTTACCAGAAGTGGATGTTTGACTGGGGTATTGTTCAAGAGTGGCGAGTACTTGGGGGGTATACTCTGCAGACTGACAGGATAACGGCGTTTTGGCGACTGCTCTCTTCATTGTGGGTCGGTAAACATGCCGGGCTGCTTTGGCAAATCCTGCACAACGCCATTCCGACAGCTGCTTTTCTGTATCGTCGTCGAAAACAGGGCACGCCTTTCTGCAAAGCATGCTCAGTACCGCACCTTGTGGAAGACCAACATCATATATATTATGGACTTCATGCAAAAATGCTAGGGATGTTTGGGCACATTTCAAAGTGCACTCCCCATTCAATTTGCCTCCACACTGGGGAGATATGTGGTCTACTGCATCTATTTTACTAGGTACAGTAGTACTGAGGCTTTCCAAGTCCCGGGCGTATCTCTAGGAAACAATCGGAGCCACGGTGCTTTGGCACCTATGGAGACAAAGAAATGAAGTGATGCTGTCCAATGAATTGCCCTCCTCACAGCAAGCAAGTGCTCAACCGAATCAAAAATGACTTGCGCCAGATCATCTACCTGGACTGGAAGCAGAGACTCGGAAAGCCGATGAGTTTGCGAGCGGGCGTGTCATGGTTTCAGAAGCATTGGGCGGCCAGCCCCTCCTTGGTCACTATAGATATTACGTGTACTGGAGACTTCCGGTTTCAAATTGGACCATTATTAAAAGGGCCTTTACGGATTAGACCCCAGAAAAACACCCCAACAGTGAGGGGCCGTGTCGGCCAGAACTTAAATTCACAAGCAGCAACTCAAAGTACAAAGTTCCCTGAGGCATATGTCGCATCCATAATGAAATGAAAAGTCGTTTCGAATAGTCACAAACAGGTCCTGCACGAACAGGTATCGGACACAGTTTTCAAGACTGTGTTAGGGGTCATGTCTCCTCGATGAAAACTCATGTCTGTTGGGCAATAAGTCAAAGGCTATAGTCCCAGTCCCAGTTCAATCATAATCGCACGAGTCAGTCCTGATTCAGACCAGAAGTCCAAAAGACAGGCCCGATGGCCCAAAACAGCAGCATACCATGGGAAAAGATACTGGGACACACACTTTGCAACAACGGGTACTGGGCCCGGTACAGTCCCAGGGACACTTGAGGCTGAACGCAGGCCACGCCAGACCAGTCCAGCACTATAAAGGACTGGCAAGCCTCCCATTTGGACAGATGCTCACTTAGCATGAGAGTGTGGAAGTGCCGTGGCACTTGTGCGCTAGACGTGTGTGAGCCGCGCTAGGCTGAAGAGCAGCGCTATGTGGGAAGGAGGAAGAGAGTGCTGGCTAGAGGGAAGGCAGCCATAGCTGCGCCAACGCTAGTTCGTATGTTAGTAAGGATAGTCAGTAGAAGATACCAGTGAGTAGTAGTCAGAGTAGATCCTCGTGTGATAGGGATTGTGCGTGCATGATGAGTGAGGGTAGACTAGGACTATAGACATAGAGGGAGAGAGAGAAGAAGCCAGACGAGAGAGGGCGAAGTGTCAGCTATGGTGACACTTACCTGTTGAGCGCTGTTGTTGACATTTGGCAGCTGGCGCTGATGAGCGCCAGGCTTGGAACTCGTGTTGATCGAAGAAGACTTGTAA